TTAATAGTAACAGGAATCTATAATAACAAATTCAACATGCTAGCATCGTTTAAGTATATGTATAGCCTATACATCCTTAACAACGGGTTGCGACGTCGACGGCAACAGAAACGTTCTAATTGGAAAAAAAGACGAAAGGGACGCGGGAGGTTGGCCGATATTACACTCACAGTTTGCTTAGGCGCGTGATCTCCGTGATCACCGGGTACTCCTGGCGGTCCTGGATTCTCTCTCGCCGTTTTCATACTCTCCGCTATTTTTTGGAACCGGTTCTTCCTCATTTGAATCCTTTTTGCCATGTAGCCCACCGTCGCGTATTCTGCGAAGACGGAAAGTCCACGCGAGTAATGAGGCGGAACAATGACAATCTAAATTACACGGTGGTCTAACCATTCCCGTGTTTTGGTGAAAGCGCTTATAGCTTATACTAAGTCACTTCTACTGCGAATAACCGTGGTACATTATAACAGTTCAAGAATAATTGCCATTGGCAAAATTAATTTGAAGTAGAGATAATTTAAATTAATTAATAACATTTTAATAAATTCAGTGTGAAATTTTTTTATTTCGAAATCTCGTTGCATTTTTTTAATATATATTTGCAGTCAGTTGGTTGGACATTTAATTATCTTTATACTGATTGGATGTTAAATGCTACTTACCGAGTAGAGATGCGAACACCATGACGAAACACGTGCCCAGGTAAACGTCGATAGACTTGACGTAGGAGATTTTCGGCAGTGCCGCGTTCGTCGAGGACATTAAGGTGGTCATGGTGAGCACAGTGGTTACTCCGAGGGCCACCCGAGCGGGGGTTGCGTTACGGTTCAGCCAAAAGCTCACCCACGAGATAATGACGATCAAGCCCGAGGGAATGTAGATTTGAATCAGGTAGTAGCCCATCGACCGTACGAACTGGATCTCGCAGGCCAGCCGCGAATAATTTCCTACGATTAAAAGATCGGAAGTTAGGACAGGGGGACGGAGAGGCGCCATGAAATGTCTCTTTCCGTTCCTTTCCTTAGTCGTTTCACATGATTATTCATATCTCTCTTTCGCTTCTGCCCTTTCTATTTTATGCTTCCTTTATATCTAAGCAACAGCTATATCTCTCTTTTTCTCCAGCGGTCCCATTCCGTTCCACCTTCCTATTCGCCTCCAATTGCTATTGACATTGACTAACGTCTACACCAGGGGAGAGCGTTCTCTCGTATTTCTTTCTGTCTCTTTACATCGCTTCTTCTCGCTGCAGTAGTCGGATACGCGGCGCACGAGGGCTGTCGTGTTGTCAAGCAAAGTTTCGTGGCGTTGATGGATCTCGTGCGTGCGTTGTGTGTTGCGAGAGAGCAAACAGAATATCGCGTACGCCCGGGGCTTACGCGAGATCGGAACAAGTCGGAAACGGAACGATAAATCCGTGCGGATAAGAAAAAAGTCGAGTTTCTCTGCGCGGATCTTGGTACCGGTTTATATCCTCTTCGCTAGGAAACGCGAAAAGAAAATAGGATTTGCTCGGGGGTCTGATTGCTACGCGCTGCTACGGTTATGAGCTCTGTCGTTAGGTTCGAGCACGTGGAACTTCAAAAGAAAGGACGCGAAAGAGACGTAACGACGCTGTGTCTTGTAGCGAAATTGCTCGTGCCGGAACGAGGCGACGCGACGCGACGCGGCGCAGGCGACGATTACGCTGAGTGTTCCTCGAATGCGATAATATTAACTCGAGCTTTAAGAGAAAATGTAATTCTGCCACGGAAAAGGTTGCCGAGAAACTTCGCCCGAAGTACCTTCTAGTTTTTTAAATCCGTTGTCGTTACGTGCTGCATAATGCAATTAACCTTTTGATAATTAAGCGGAATTTGTTATCGTGTTACGTCTTGTAGAACACGTACACATCTTAATGAGAACGATACAAGTGGGTCCAAAAGACAGTATAAAGGACGAGGACCGAAAACGAGGATCACGTTAGCGAGCTTGAAGATTGCTGTTTAAAATTCAAGCTCGTGCTTCCGCATATGTCCAGATGTGACCGCGAGAAAGAGAGAGATATCGATCGATCGATCGACGATTGCTCAACGTAGAGTAACGTTGCTGCGAGCGACATCGTGGCTGCGGACATCGGATAGCGCAAACGTGTCTCTCCACCTTACCCATACCCGTTAAAAGCGAGGGTTGATCATCATCATCATCATCATCATTATTATTATTATTATTATTATTATTTTATGTATATTATTTTTGGTCGGTTGGTGGGGGTGGGGTTCTATTCATACGTTACCGGTAGTTAGACTAATCTCCATGGCTCGTTGACGGTGACCAAGGACCTTGAACTGAGGCAGGGAGACCTCGTTGCTGACACCGACGCTGTTCGGGCCCTCGTTCCACTTGTACCGGATGTCCCTCATCGTGTATCCGACTGAAAAAATAGAGAGACCCCCCGCGGTTGGTACGTACCTTCGCGGAAGCCCTCAAACGCGATTCAGCTCCGAGGGGGCCTCCACTTACCTCGCACCCCCTTTCAAAACCCCAACAAGTCCGCTCTCTTTCTCTCTACTTTCCTCTCTTTCGTTTTATATACACATACATTTACATAATTTTTACTTCCTTCGATAATTCACGTTCCTCTCTCCACCTTTCATTCTCCTATTCTCCTCCTCTGTCTATCTGTCCCTCTCCGTTTACTCTTATTCTGTCTTACTTCGTCATTCTCACCACGGAGAACCATTTGCATACATCGTTTGACGAGGGACGATAGAAATTGTACACGAGTGCAGGAGGACGTGCGAGCGGAAATTAGTCTTTCGTTTACCTGTTCTCTCTTTTCCATAGGACGATCTCGCAGTCGATCGTTGCCCACGATCGACCTCGAAGGGAGGTCATGTTTTCTTTACTCTTATCTTTTCTTTCTTATTCCCTGAGAGCCCGTCGTGTCGTTTCTGATCTGATGTTGTGGATGGTTCGTCAGAAGTCGACTTCGTACTATCCTCCTTTGCGAATCGCGAATTAAGATAGCAAATCGCAACGGCGAGAACATTGACATCAGATAACCGGGTAAAATAGTACGTCGTCGATCTCGGACCCGTGATAAAGGACTAAATCGGGAACGAGATGGATTCGTATGATCGGGGGAGTTCGTCTTCGTCCTATGTTCCGTGGATTCAAAGATCGATGAAGTCGATTGATTAGTCGATCGGTCGATTGGTCGAGCGAATGAGCCCCGGGGACGACTTCGTCCTAACGGGCAAGCCCTTCTTTGAGCGGAACGATCGATTGTGTCCGCGGTATAAGGCAACACGGTGAACGGTGCATATCGGTGCGAAACAAAAGAGAAAAAAAATACAAAGAACAGATTAAAAACAGTGAACAAAAAAATGGTATAATATATATTTATATGTATATTTACAGAAATGAAAGTGGAACCGTCAGAACGAAAAGTAGAAAATGCTCTGCACACATATCGTACTATACATACACATATGCACGTACAGATATGTATATATATAATATAACGGCGTGTACACGCGTGTAGACATTATTTTATAACAAGTCAGTAATTTATTCAATCATCTGCGCGAGAGCCTCTGGACGAAGTTCTGAAGGAAGAACTAATAAGAGGGGGATATCTACCTGTAGATAGGTGTATGGTTGTATGTCGTTGCCTGTGACCGAGCACGCGAAACTGCGGTAGTTCCACCTCGTTCGAGATGCCGACCGACTGTAGGCCGGCGTTCCATTTGTACCGAATATCGCGCATTGTGTATCCAACTGCCGGGAGAACAAGAACACAAATATCTTCGCTCTAACATACAATAATTAGACACTCAAGTTTTGTGTGGTAGGTCTTTAGGGGAACTTCTCGGGAGGACACGATTGTCCCGGGGGTCAAGGGTCAGGACGGGCTGGGGTTTCATCAGGTCGTAGATAGAAGCAAAAAAGTTTTATCCAGCACCCTAAACCGCGACCGCTCTGCACGATGTTATTCATAAACACACGTGATTTCTATTTTTATAAAATAATAAACGAATAAACACATGGGTTCCATTTTTGTCTATATCAATTATGTTTAGCTCGGCTGAAGGTGCTTTTCGGCGCTGCAAAAATCGAGCTAGGTTTTAAAATTATCGTCGACCAGAATGACTGAAGTCCGTTCGGTCGATTATCAGACGCGATTGAAAACGATAATAACAATAATAATAATAATAATAATAATAATAATAATAATACTTTGAACGGATGCGCGTGTGCAGCGTTTATAATCGTTTTTACGGACGTATGAGAAGTATTTCGCTTGTACCAAGTTTTAACTGACGCGACGTTAAATTCCCAGGCTAGTGCGATTTTTCCATCAACGGTATCGCTCGGAGAATTACTTTCCTATACGTCCATAATTTTTCTCGCAAAAATCCGTACAGCGCGGTACAGTGCGAGCGATCGAGGTCACGAGGAGCAGGCTACGAGCAATAACTAACCGATAGAGAAAAGTTGCTCCGCAACGATTTATCGCGTCTACGAGCAGATAGAGCTGCACTCGTCGTCCCGTTTGAAAGGTATCCCCGCGAAATGTATTTTCCGCGATCGATCTCGGAATTCGCACCTATTTATGTTCCTCTAATTCCTCGGCGCGGCCTCGAACGTGCACATACCGGCCCGAGAAACATTCCTCCGTAACTGAATCTTAGGTGATTACGATCGTTACACCGCATTCCAGGCACCAAAGTGGCATTCCATCGCGGCGTCGGCCACATTGCGCGAACATCGGCGAAACGTGGATTAAGCGATCCCTCGAAAGCGACCGAGTATTCGAGATTAACTGCTTTTGTTTTTGGAACACGGAAATACTATTGCCGTTCCGGCCGGGTTCCGTTTGCTCATTTTCAGCCGGCGCGGCGCGGCACTCCGCGCCGAATGCCTCGCCGTAATTCCGGCCCCGGCAGATTTATCTGTGTACACACAATGTTCGCGACTCTGCTCGGGCGTGTGTCGATTGCTACCCCCTGTCCCGATGCTCACTCCCATTCACCGTTGTTAACGTCCGTACCGCTTTCAAGGTACCGTGCAATTTAATTGACGAAAGATTTGCGACGCGATTTTCAATTACTTTTCTTTTCCCTATTTGTCTCGTTTAATGAATCTTTCGAAATGAAATCGCCGTAATGTCGTGTTGAAAAGTTCGCAAAAATACTTGTTTGAAAAAAGCAAGAACGAGTTGATGTTTGCCGATGTTCGTCGCACGTGTTACTACGGCGTATCGTATAAATCCACTACAAATCAGAACGGCGTTGTTTTTCTCGATAAAATAAAAAAAAATGTCCTGGAGTGGGTTAACGTCAAGCATTACAGGGGTTCGAAGGGGTGCGGAGGGAGAGAAGGGAGGAGTGGCCGTCGAGTACCGTAAGAGAAGGAGCGGTTGCGACAACATTAGCAAAGAGTATAACCGTATATAGGATTGTAGTGGTGGTACCAAGTTTAGGTTATATAAGACGATAAGTGGAAAGTGTATAAAGTAGATATGGAGAAGCGAAGAAAAAAAGTTCCGTGCCTCGGCATGCTGTGGTCGTGCGGGGATTTGGAAAATACATAAGGTCAATTTAGTAGGCGGGTGGGTGGCTAGGCGGGCAGGCGGACGGGCGGGCGCGCGCTCCCTCGCGCGTATTCGAGCGAGTAGACGCATAAATACAAGCACACATGCATATACAATCGCATGCTTCATGCCACGTAATTTTGTACGTCATGCCCGATGCCGCATGCTTTGTACTTTACCAGTGACACGAATTCTGAACACGGAATTTAACTTCTTTTTACTCCGGCTGAAATGGTCGTTCGCAATATTCGCGTTCGCAAAGTATGCTATTATTGGATCCCATTTAGCCTGGATCGAATTCGGCCGATCAATTTTTACGTTAACGACGGCTCCCATCGCACGGGAACCATCCTTTTTTTTTTTTTCTTCGAACGGAACGGGCGAATTATTCAAATTACGTTGCGACGACCAATGAAATCCATTTTATAAACTGGCAAGAACAGCTATGAAAGCGTCAATCGGTTTCGCCTGTATCAGATGTTATAACTTCTATGAAAATTTCATATTCGATCAAAGGGAACGTATCGTTCCATGGACGTTTTTAAAAGCTATTTGAAATTCGATTACTTATTCTGTAAATAATGGAAACATCGCTTTTGGCGAGCATGTAAGGTAGGCTACGTAATATTAAGTCTAGCGTGAATTATTAATGGTGCGGCCAATTTGAATTTTAAATCATCGGAAATTCGGTCCTGGGTTAAGAGAGCGGAACAAAATATTCTCGTGCCATAGGCATGCCGACTTCAATCTACGAGCGGGATATCATCGAACTACTACGATCTATGATAACGATGGCATACGCAAAAGTGGTCGGGGAACGGGTATACACCAGTTTTGGAATATATATCGAGAGAAAGACAGAAAGAAACAATTAAAAAAAAAAATGAAAGAATCGGTTAAGATATTTGGGATAACGTAGGCATACCGAACTGGGGCCACGGCACGTCACGTCGTGGCTAAAATGCTGCAGTCGTTTCGTTCTTACATGCGCTGGGCTAGATGCACAATGCGTTTTAATTCGGTCGCACCGTGGTCGACACGTCGTTTTCTGTGTTTAGCCTCCTTCGGGGCTGGCCGTCGTCGGCCCTTACTACGTCCCCGGACACGAGGCTCAGTGCTATATGTCGGAGGCTTTATCAGAGAGGGGGGGGGGGGNGGGGGCTTGGTTTCGTGATAGTGACGGTCAAGTGGTGGGTGGTGGTGGTGGTAGTGGTATTCTGTGACAGTGGCAAAGTGGTGACTTTCGGTGTGTTTAATGTAGCACACGTTCGTAGAGACGGTTCGTCGTCGGAGCCAAAAAATTAAAAATCGTTTTCGATTTGGTTTCTGTCCGGAAAAACTCTAGCATTTACAGCCGTGCTTGTGCTCTACGATTCTCTCGAGTCACGTGTGATTTCTCCGTCAATCTCGTTTGCTTCGCTCCTTTTTCTTGTTTACCAAGTTTCGAATCCGTGGAAAGCTGAACGCGATAGCGGCTGGTCGTATCGAGCTCTGTACACGCGGTTGCGGAGAAATTACACAGAAGTTCGCTAAGACCGACGTGATAATTCACAACAGTGGTACAGATAGGTATAGTGGAGACCCTTCGGAGGATGCTCGTAAATACGCTTTACGGTTGTTTCACGCAGATCGCAATCGAGGATGCAGAAACTTGTACTCGTCCTCGAACTATGCCCGACGGCTATTCTTACGTCTGTATATCCATTCGTACGATATCGTTTTTTTAATGTACGTTTTTCTCATGCATAGACCAGCGCGGAACGTGTCTGCCCCCGCTGCGTGAACGTCGGTCGACTCGATATATCCACCAAACGATAGATTAACGGATCAACCGTATTTCTGCGTGATCGTTCTCACCACCCATCGTTTGGAGTTACTGCAAATTGCACGTCTGTGTGTTCTCGTCGGCGATCGCAATGTCGTGTAACGTTGAAACGCGATTATATTGGGAAAACGCGATGCGGCGCGCCGGTGAAACAGCGATAATGCGTCACGTGCCCGGTGAAAAACATCGCAAATTGGCTCGATAACAAAGGCCGACAATACCGTTTTTTTTTCTCTTCCGAACCGAGCCAAATTAATTCTCGAGCTTGACCAAGTCCGTCGTTAATAACGCCCATGCCATTCCGATAAATCGTAACAATAACGAGAGGGCGTGTAACGCCCGCCGCTAACGAGATTAAAAATAACAACACCAATGAATCGTACACGGGAAAGTTTAATTAATATCCAACCCTCGTTCATGCCAATTGGACGCAGGGAATACAATGAACTTATCGGCTCTCCGCCAATGAAATACGCGCAGGGAGCATTATGCGGCTCGTTACATCAAGGATGATTACGATGGTCCTTAATTGTCGGGTGATAAAGTAGTTTTTGAAACCAGATATTTGATATTCTAATTACACGAAGTTCTGTTCATTAGAACTGATTACCAGCGGGTGAAGAGAATAAATTACCGTCAATTGTCATTAATCAATTGTCTATAATCAGCTGCCGTTCCCAAGTAGACTCGAATTGACATTTTGTTCGCCCGTTTTTATTAAAATTTAATCTACTGTTAACAAGAATCATCATCGTTTTTAATCTCTTCCTAAAGTGTAAAGTTAGGAAACAAAAGAGATGATTTCAGTTTTCTCTGATAGCGACGTGTTTTATAGGTTTCCGAGTTTCTGGGAATTCGACTGTCAACTTTATCAAGATCGGCGTACGACAGTTACCTTCATTTACGTAAGTAGCCTCGATGTTAATCGCTATTAATTACCATCTCAGTGGAGGGAGGCCGGGGGGGGGGAGGAGGGATGGGAGTGGCGCGTAGGCCGCGACAAAACGGGACAGAGAAATACTTCTAACGATGGTAATAATTTCGAGCGGGGTACGAGGCCGGAGCAATTAAGGACGAAGACACGATCCGGCTTTCTGCTCCGCGAAACTAATCGACGAACTTGGTCAAGTTACTTTGATATCTCGAGCGTCCGACTTCCGGCGGCAGGCCTTTAGTCGTATCCTGCAAACGACTGAGTTTTAATATAGATCTCTTAGCCGGGACGAGTTAGGCCGAAACTTTTTCCATTGCCCTCGTATAGATTACCAATCTCCGGTGGACCGCCGCTATAATCAAAGGCACCGGATGCGTTTCACGACTCTTTTTGTTTCTCCCCGCTACCCGGTCTTTTACTATTTT